GGTTCTCTGATCTCATCTTAGAACAAAAGCCTCCCTCTGGTCTCTCTCCATAGGGAGTGATTATACAGTTATTTATCATTCTAAAACATGAAAAGACAAAGTCAACAGTCTCATCTCCTTTAAAGTAAGAGGGTTTCTCTGTTCTAACTTTATGAAATCCACCTTTGCACAAGTGAACCCTTGATATGAAACAAAAGGTGAAGCACAGAAAGTGTAGAAGAGGAAAACTAAGAATCCATCACAGAAAAAAATCAAAGACAGATGCAAGAAAAATGTCAACTTTTAATGTGTTCACAAACAACACATTTGAATTTATAATAAACAATAACAATAAACAAAACAATAAATGAATTTTCAGAACGTCCAATAAACAACATTAAACAGTGAACACGATGCACACATATCCTCCAGTGGTCTCAGCACTTGTGGACGGACTGAAGTGAGATCCTGTAGAGTCTGACTCTGGGCTCACAGGATGCAGCCTCAGCTCTGTCTCCTTCACTTTGTTCCAGAGGCTTCAGAGCTGCTTCTCTGCAGGTTTTAATGTGTCGAAGAAGAGATGACCTTTGTGTAAAAGACTTTCCACACTTTTCACAGACAAATGGCCTTTCTCCAGTGTGGATCCTCTGATGATCTTTGAGAGTACCACTTTGAGAAAAACTCTGACCACAATCGTCACAGCTGAAGGGTTTCTCTCCTGTGTGGATCCTCTGATGTTTTTTGAGATTACCACTGTGAGAAAAACTCTGACCACAATCGTCACAGCTGAAGGGTTTCTCTCCAGTGTGGATCCTCTGATGAACTTTGAGAGTACCACTGTGAGAAAAACTCTGACCACAATCGTCACAGCTGAAGGGTTTCTCTCTTGTGTGGATTCTCTCATGAATTTTGTAGCTGGAAGAGTGAGTAAACGTCTTCCCACAGTCTCCACAGACGAATGGTTTATCTCCAGTGTGGATTCTGTAGTGATCAGTGAGGTTAGATAAACGTGTAAAAGTCTTTTCACACTGGTCACATTAGTGAGGTTTCTCTCCTGTGTGGACATGCTGATGTAGGGTGAGCTGCTGTTTGATCCTAAATGTTTTTTCACACTGGTCACACTCAAATGGTTTCTCTCCTGTGTGGATCCTTTGATGAGCTTTGAGAGTACCCTCATGTCTAAAACTCTGATCACAATCGTCACAGCTGAAGGGTTTTTTCTCCAGTGTGGATTCTGCTGTGGACCATGAGATCTCTTTTTCTAGTAAAACATGTTCCACACAGATCACACTTGTATGGTTTTCCTCCAGAGTGAGTTCTGTGGTGGGTCTTTAGATCAGAAGCAGAGCTGCAGGTCTTTCCACACTGATCACAGGAAAACACCATTCTGTAGATGGACTTTGTAGATCTGCAACAAACACAACAGAGACACGTCAAATAATTATAATTGTGTGAGAAATGACATTGATTTAAAAGGTTATAACTTAAAAACTAAAATTAACTATCATGGATTAGATAAAATGGACAGAAGTGAGTGGATAAAACAAAAGGAAAGTTAAACGACCAAATCAGTCTCAGATTGGACCATTCTACTGTGACGCCAGAAAAGGAAATGTCCCGAGTCTGAAAAAGTGGAAATCCCACAAGATAAACCTGGTTAACACAACATCAGTAAATCACTTGATATAAAAAGGAATTGTTGGAAAAAAAAGTGAATTAATTAAATGGCCCTTGAATAATGTGTAATGGACGTGATGGTTTCCGTCCTCTTTTCTCTAAAAATTAAACTTGAGAAAAAAAAAAATCTGGTTGGATTTCACATTTCATTGTTTTTTTATAGCGCTGCAACAAACAATTATTTTAATAATCGATTAATCTGTCGATTATTTTAATAATTGATTAATCTGTCGATTATTTCTTCGATTAATTGGATTAAAAAAAAAATGTTTCCATCCCTTTGTTTACAAACATGGCCATGGACCTAAACAAAAAAAACATGCAAATGTAAGCTATGCAAATATTGGCTTTTTGAAAAGTAAAGTGCACAAAAAAAGTATTTTTAGGGATGCACAGATTTTTACATTAAAAATAATATATAATATAATATAATTTATATATATATATATATATATATATATATATATATATGAATTTTCAGACAATTTGCAGAATTCTCGCTGAAATGGACCTCTGACTTTTTGTTCAAAAGTACATTATGACTAGTACATGGCAAATTTTCAACGATTTGTAAACAGGCGGGCGCGAGGGCGGCCATGTGCGCCGAGAGGTCCCTTTTATGGGTCCTTTGGAGACTTTACGGAGCTGTCAAATAACTTTAGTGGTTGAAGAAGATGACATAGTCTGGGATTGCGTCTTTCATTCAGACAGAAGACATGTTTTATTGTCGATGGTAGAGACAGCACGAACAACACGAACAACAGAATGCAAGTGTATTATACAGAGCGGAGGCATGGAGACCTCCAATCAGCAGCTGCCACAGTGCCATGTAGCTTGGCCTTCAGATAGACAAAACAAGGGAAAAGTACTGGCTTCTGCACATTGATAGAATGATGAGTTTAACTTTAACAAAAGTTGCTTAAAAGTGTTATGAAATCTCACACGGTGTCTACTGTCTAAATCATGGATCTAAATCCGAAAGTGATTCAGATAGGAGGAAAGAGACTAAGCATTGCTACACCTAGCGAGATGAGAGCGCATAGTGAGAGTGTGTGTGTGTGTGTGTGTGTGTGTGCAGAGGAGCAGACGTGTGTGTGTGTGTGTGAGCAGAGGAGCAGACGTGTGTGTGTGTGTGTGTGAGCAGACGTGTGTGTGTGTGTGTGTGTGTGAGCAGAGGAGCAGACGTGTGTGTGTGTGTGTGTGTGAGCAGAGGAGCAGACGTGTGTGTGTGTGTGAGCAGACGTGTGTGTGTGTGTGTGAGCAAAGGAGCAGACGTGTGTGTGTGTGAGCAGACGTGTGTGTGTGTGTGAGCAGACGTGTGTGTGTGAGCAGAGGAGCAGACGTGTGTGTGTGTGTGTGTGTGAGCAGACGTGTGTGTGTGTGTGAGCAGACGTGTGTGTGTGAGCAGAGGAGCAGACGTGTGTGTGTGTGTGTGTGTGAGCAGACGTGTGTGTGTGAGCAGAGGAGCAGACGTGTGTGTGTGAGCAGAGGAGCAGACGTGTGTGTGTGTGTGAGCAGACGTGTGTGTGTGAGCAGAGGAGCAGACGTGTGTGTGTGTGTGTGAGCAGACGTGTGTGTGTGAGCAGAGGAGCAGACGTGTGTGTGTGTGAGCAATCACCACATAAAATAATCTGAGAGTTTGCATATTTTTGTAACAACTCGTTAAGTTTGAATGATATTTGGGAGAAGAGTGAGTTGTTATGTGAATGTGTATTATGTCCATTTATTATACGGCTCCTCACAGCAGCAGTAGAATGCTCCATTGATTTGAATGTAATTTCAAAACGTTCTACCGGTCATTATTTTCTATAACGGACCTCTCAAAACAATAATGACCGCTGCCCTTTGGCAACGCACTCTCTGCTTGTCTTTCAAATGCGTGGATAACTCCGCAAGTAGTTCCGGCCACTCCGGAGCTAGCCACGCTCAATCAACACACTTAAATGTTAATCGGAGAATACTTATACATATACATTCTTCACACACGTGCACGGAAATTTTCAGAATTTTCTGGTCTCGTCTTCATGACAAAAATACTATTTCTCTGCGTCAAAAAGCGATCGTGAAAAACCCGGAAGTAGTTCTGGCCGCTCAATAAACGCAAATGCCAATCAATCAACGCAATGAAATGTTAATCGGAGAGTAATTTATACATATCCAGTCTTAATACAAGTGCACGGAAGTTTTCAGAATTTTCCGTTTACGTTTTCATGACAAAAACACTGATGTAATGCGAGAAAAGGCGATCCCGAAAAACCCGGAAGTAGATACCGGCACATTTTAAGATACCGGCACATTTTAGGAACATTTGCAGAGGATCGAATTATGGATTTAGGTTAGGTTTATGTATGGGTCACTCACCGCTGATGTTCAGAATTCTTTGTTCAGTTTTCATGCAGTTCCAGAGAGTTCTAGTTTGGAAGTTACCAGCCTAACTGTTGCCCGCGGTTGCCGAGCAACGGGAAAACTTTTTGGGACTACTTTATTTGTTGTCATTAAATAAACTTTTGGCATTCATAAAAGTGATCTGAAGTTTATTGTGTGTGTTAAGTTGGTACAAAGCAGTATAATAAGCGGGATAATGTATAGCCTACAGGTCATTATCGGAAAATAAGTACCGACAGGGCGAAGCGGTCCGCTTCGCCCTGTCGGTACTTATTTTCCGATAATGACCTGTAGGCTATACATTATCCCTTACATATGTTACAAATAGTAAAAACTAAGTTATCTTGTTTGATCGTAAAAACAATCCATCTACCTGTATCTGCTGTAAATACTTCAATTACATCCCCTTTAAACTTATGAATCAAAATGGCAACTCCCGCTGAACGGTTTGAGCCATGGCTGAAGTAAATATTGTTACCCCACTGACTCTTCCAGAATTTCACATCAGCATCATTTGAATGAGTTTCTTGAAGCAATATGAACTCAGCATCACTTCTTTTAAGAAATAAAAACAGTGCTTTCCTTTTAGTTGAATCACGAATACCCCTGACATTCAATGAAGTTACATTTAAAGATGATAATTGAACCATAAGAACACACACAAAAAAGAGCTCTCTTTCGAACAGTAGCTAAAACTTTAGACTTGCTTTAGATCAAAGAACGAGAAAGCAGCTAGACAACCATGAAATAAATGTCTAATTTTGTGACCAAGAATTAACTTTCAATACAATGCAAACAAAAATTATGCCAAGATAATTACTTGCATGTTAATAGGCAGAGTACTAAAATATTAAATAATTTTGAGGCAAAAAGAATGCACTTATAATATTATTTCAGTATTGCCAAAGCATAAAGGTGCTGGAGAGTAGAATGAGGCTAAATGTAGTGCACCAAATGCATTACTTCACATCCCAGTGGTTCATCTTCTTTCCATCGATTAGCGCGAAGGGACCGATGAGGGTGGCTCTCTTCCCTTCTTTCCTGGCTTTGTCCACCAGGGGCCAGAGTTTCTCTCTTGCAAGTCTGTCCTCGGGAGACAGCGCTTGAGTGAGACGAAGCTTGTTGTCGCGGAGAAATTTGCAGCCTTTGGCACACTTCCACACAGCATCAAGGATACGGCGAAGAGCAAACAGGATGATGACTGGTCTGTTGGATCCATCCGTTCTCTTTGGGCCAAGACGATGAGCGATATCCACACCATCCTCCAGGTAAACCTGCAAACCGGGAGCAACTTTCCCTAGGACGATGATGACTTCTTTCCTCTCATCTTCATTCACATTTTCCTTGAGGCCATGTAGTTTTAGCGACCATCTCCAACTGTACCGCTTGCACTCTTCCACCGCTGTTTTAAAGCCGGTTCTCCTCCTTCAGCTTCACAATTTCAGACTGAACATCTTTTATATTCTTCCCGTGACGGTCAACATCCACCACAACCCGCGCCACCGTAGCTGTCAGATTTGCCATTTGTTTGGATGTATTTTCCGTTGTTGCTTCAATAGCTGAAACTTTCTGAAAAGTGTCATCTTTCTTTCTGGACAGCTCCTTCAGTGACGCTAGCACATCACAAAGGCTAACTGCCTCGTTCTTGGCGCCGTCCCCGTTACTATCAATTTTTTTTCCATTTGTGGATAGACTTTCAGCTGCGTTCAGGGCTGGACTGGCCATCGGGCGTACCGGGCAATGCCCGAAGGGCCGATGCCCATATTTGGGCCGGTCTGTCTGCCTCATACAAAAAACATGTTTGTGAAAAGTGTAAATCCGTTGAGAAATGTTCGAGGGGAGCGCGTGTGTCCGCGGGGCACCTGCTGTATGTACTCGAACGGGATTCCACCACCTCAGCGGCCGCAGTGTTCCCGCATCCAGCGGCTCTGAGCTGGACGCAGGAACCGCTCACCGGGAGCCGCTCACAACACAACACGGTGAGCGCGTAGCCGCAACGTGACCATGTACCCAAGACCATAAACGCGCCCAGGACCATGCATGTCTTTTCGTAATTTGTGCACCCAATAAATACACCGCTGCAGAAAACAGTCCGCGTCTCCCCTCTCCTCTAAATTAAAGCTCGGGTACCTAAATTTTCCATTGCATTAAAAATTCATGTTTGAGCCCAAAAGTAAAATGTTGTGAACAGATTAAACAGATTTAGAGCCAGCTAATGGCTGACCATATGCATTTCAGAAATGTTTACCAATTCTCATCCCTGTAACAAACAATAGTGTTGTCTGTGTCCACCTCCCTCACTCTGAGACATGTTTATTACTCTGTTTAATGTAGACTATTGCTCTTTATTTTATTGTTGAAACTGCACACATCCTGATCCTCTATTTGCTTCCACATACTGTATAAACCAGGGGTCAGCAACCTTTAGTGCCCCTAAAGTGGCTCCTGGAGCCTTTTCAAAAATGTCTGAAAATGAAGTGTGAGGGCTATATTTTATTTCTAGTTTGAATGTGGTTTCTGTAGGAGGAAAAACATTCTTAACGTTTTTCAATGCTGCAAAAACTTGTATAAGTAATATTCAATTTTAACTGTGTGTGCGCATGGATCCCAAAGATAAAGAGAGAGAGTCGATAAGACTGGACTAAGAATGAGAATGAACATTTGCTTTCAGTCAATGAGGAAGGACTGCTTCATGTTTGCGATGTAATGAAAGGTTTTGTTGCAACAGGAGGAACAATGAAGCGTTAAACACTGTTCACTGAAAGATTCATTCATCATAAAGTCAGAGCACCTATTTTCAGACTTCAAAACCTTTGCAAAGACGGTGAAAGAAAAGGTCATTAAGGACATTCAGCTCCAGCAAACTTCAGCCTGTGACGTGATCGATATGAACAGACAGTGATGCAGGTGAACTCGGAGCCAAAAAGCAGATTTATTTCTGTATTTACAATTGCATGAAGGTTAAACTTAAAGCAGAGTTGTCAAGTGGTGCGTCATTCTCTCCAGGACATGCTGCAATGAAAATACACATTTGATAATCATGAATGGTTTTTATGTGTTTGTAGCCTTTACTTTGTCATTTAGATATTAGGCTAAATAGCTAATATAGCTAATATAGCTAGTGTAGTTAAGGTAGCTAATGTAGCTAATGTAGCTTCAGCTCCTGTTACCTTCATATGAGCCTTATACAACGCTGTTTGTTGTTTTTTATTTTGCGGCTCCAGACAGATGTTGTTTTTAGTTTTTTTGTCAAATAGGGCTCCTTGAACCTTTTGAGTTGCCTGGGCCGCTAAAAAGGAAAAAATGCCCGGGCCGTTTTTTTGTCCCAGTCCAGCCCTGGCTGCGTTCAGGGCTGGACTGTTCTCGTTGACATTTACAGCACCCTGAACCTTGTTCTCACTGGTTTCCATTTCTTGTGTGGATATCTCCCCCGTTGGCTTCTGTACTTCACAGTTTCTTTCCATTTTGCCGTCGGGAAATATAAAAGCTTCTTGACTTTTTCCCGCGCCTCAATTAAAATGCCGTTTTTCCTCACCTTAAGCGAAACTTCAGACCAAAAAGTGTTCCAACAGGGTTTCGTCACTCAAGCTTTCAATAGTATTAGGTCACAGTCCCATTTGGTTGTCTTTTTTGCGATTTCTCAATTTATAGACAGGGGAGCAAACGCTGTCATCATGTCCGAGAAAGCGGTCCAATTATCTTGCATACTATTTTAGACTGACACATTGAATATATTCCGTCACAATAAAGCTTTGAACATACTTTAAAGATGTTGTGACACAATTCATATACAAAAAAGATTGTAGAAGAGGAGAAACATGTACTCACCGTAGTGCTCAAAATCAGACTGTTTAGCTGTGCCTGTGCCTGTGCCTGTGTGCCTGTGCCTGTGCCTGTGCCTGTGCCTGTGCCTGTGCCTGTGCCTGTGCCTGTGCCTGTGCCTGTGCCTGTGCCTGTGCCTGTGCCTGTGCCTGTGCCTGTGCCTGTGCCTGTGCCTGTGCCAGCCTGAGGAGCCTCATGCTGCTTTCATGAAAAGTCCACATTTACAACGAACGATACAAAACTCCAAATCATAATTGGTTTATATTAAATTCTAAAGACCAAAAATATAAGATTAATCATTTTTGAAATAACGACAAAAGTTTTTTTTTTTTTTTCGAATGTTTGTATTCACGCGTGAAAGGCGACAAAACGGAATGGGACCTACTGTATAACCAAATAGGGCGACAGTGGCTCAGTTTGTAGAGCATTGGCCTTTGAGCCTGAAGGTCGTGGGTACGAGCCCACCACAAGACCTACTTTACGACTCCCACTGATGACTGCTGTCGTTGTGTCCTTGGGCAAGACACTTAACCCCACTTTGCCTGAAGCCCCAACTGGAAGATCCTTGTGGACTCAGCACCTGCAGGAGGATCAGTGAGGGGCTGGTGCTCTGTGGACTGGGTGCAGCTCTGACTGCCACCCCCCCGACTCAGACATGGATTAAGGGGAAGAAAATGAATGGATGGATGGAACCAAACTGGTTATAGTATACTTGAAACTAGAGAATTGAAACTATATCACTGAAATGGTATAGTTGGCTTAAGATAAGATAGACGTTATTGATCTCACATTTATTGATCTCACACAGGAGAAATTTACAATATAATTATTACAGAATAAACACTAAGGCTATTAATGCCAACATTTCACATTTATTGAAGTTTTATTGTTGAACCAATATCACACAAACCACTGAATACAATTACATTGAATTACAAGCAAAGAAATCCTTCATATCGAAAGTAAAGAAAAGTATTTGTACTTTTATTATGAAGGAGTTCAGTGCGGAAAAGTAATAGTCGTGTCCTTTTATTGTGAAGGAGTAGGTTCGGAGATATAAACAGTAGTAGTTGTGCTTTTATTTTGAAGGAGCATCTATCGGCGGATCTGTAGCAATCGTGATTTTATTTTGAAGGAGCATCTATCGGCGGATCTGTAGCAATCGTGATTTTATTTTGAAGGAGCATCTACGGCGGATCTGTAGCAATCGTGATTTTATTTTGAAGGAGCATCTATCGGCGGATCTGTAGCAATCGTGATTTTATTTTGAAGGAGCATCTACGGCAGATCTGTAGCAATCGTGATTTTATTTTGAAGGAGCATCTATCGGCGGATCTGTAGCAATCGTGATTTTATTTTGAAGGAGCATCTATCGGCGGATCTGTGGCATTCGTGCTTTTGTTGTGAAAGGGCGCGGGCGGAAGAGGAGCCGACGCAGAGGCTGATGTCAACACCGGAGACCTTCTGCGACAACAGCCGTGACCAGATTCAGCTCCGGGGCGTTCTAGAGCCTCACGATTACGGTAAACAAAACCCACACACACACAGAAACCTTTTACCAACTGACTTTTATTATTTCCTGATCCAATGTGAAAGCGACACGTATCCTCCGCGCTGTCCCACAGGCCACCTAATAAAAGGAATGCATGGACTAAGATACTGTATAATGGAGCCAAAACACGACAATTACGCTCAGTCTGATGCATGTTCTGGGATGTCTTCTTGCGGATATTTGAGGTTCATGTTTGCATGGGTTTCCCTCCTCAGCCTGGAACGAGCTGCTGCTAATTCTCTGTATCATTTCTGTCATAATCGCTGCTGTCTGTGGTTCATGGTGTTGTCTGTGGTTCATGGTGCTGACTGTGGTTCATGGTGCTGACTGTGGTTCATGGTGTTGTCTGTGGTTCATGGTGTTGTCTGTGGTTCATGGTGTTGTCTGTGGTTCATGGTGTTGTCTGTGGTTCATGGTGCTGACTGTGGTTCATGGTGTTGTCTGTGGTTCATGGTGCTGACTGTGGTTCATGGTGCTGACTGTGGTTCATGGTGCTGACTGTGGTTCATGGTGTTGTCTGTGGTTCATGGTGTTGTCTGTGGTTCATGGTGCTGACTGTGGTTCATGGTGCTGACTGTGGTTCATGGTGTTGTCTGTGGTTCATGGTGTTGTCTGTGGTTCATGGTGCTGACTGTGGTTCATGGTGTTGTCTGTGGTTCATGGTGCTGACTGTGGTTCATGGTGTTGTCTGTGGTTCATGGTGCTGACTGTGATTCATGGTGTTGTCTGTGGTTCATGGTGTTGTCTGTGGTTCATGGTGTTGTCTGTGGTTCATGGTGTTGTCTGTGGTTCATGGTGTTGTCTGTGGTTCATGGTGCTGACTGTGGTTCATGGTGCTGACTGTGGTTCATGGTGTTGTCTGTGGTTCATGGTGCTGACTGTGGTTCATGGTGCTGACTGTGGTTCATGGTGTTGTCTGTGGTTCATGGTGTTGTCTGTGGTTCATGGTGTTGTCTGTGGTTCATGGTGTTGTCTGTGATTCATGGTGTTGTCTGTGGTTCATGGTGTTGTCTGTGGTTCATGGTGCTGACTGTGGTTCATGGTGCTGACTGTGGGTCATGGTGCTGACTGTGGTTCATGGTGTTGTCTGTGGTTCATGGTGCTGACTGTGGTTCATGGTGCTGACTGTGGTTCATGGTGTTGTCTGTGGTTCATGGTGTTGTCTGTGGTTCATGGTGTTGTCTGTGGTTCATGGTGTTGTCTGTGATTCATGGTGTTGTCTGTGGTTCATGGTGTTGTCTGTGGTTCATGGTGCTGACTGTGGTTCATGGTGCTGACTGTGGGTCATGGTGCTGACTGTGGTTCATGGTGTTGTCTGTGGTTCATGGTGTTGTCTGTGGTTCATGGTGTTGTCTGTGGTTCATGGTGTTGTCTGTGGTTCATGGTGCTGACTGTGGTTCATGGTGCTGACTGTGGTTCATGGTGTTGTCTGTGGTTCATGGTGCTGACTGTGGTTCATGGTGCTGACTGTGGTTCATGGTGTTGTCTGTGGTTCATGGTGTTGTCTGTGGTTCATGGTGTTGTCTGTGGTTCATGGTGTTGTCTGTGGTTCATGGTGTTGTCTGTGATTCATGGTGTTGTCTGTGGTTCATGGTGTTGTCTGTGGTTCATGGTGCTGACTGTGGTTCATGGTGCTGACTGTGGGTCATGGTGCTGACTGTGGTTCATGGTGTTGTCTGTGGTTCATGGTGCTGACTGTGGTTCATGGTGCTGACTGTGGTTCATGGTGTTGTCTGTGGTTCATGGTGTTGTCTGTGGTTCATGGTGTTGTCTGTGGTTCATGGTGTTGTCTGTGATTCATGGTGTTGTCTGTGGTTCATGGTGTTGTCTGTGGTTCATGGTGCTGACTGTGGTTCATGGTGCTGACTGTGGGTCATGGTGCTGACTGTGGTTCATGGTGTTGTCTGTGGTTCATGGTGTTGTCTGTGGGTCATGGTGCTGACTGTGGTTCATGGTGTTGTCTGTGGTTCATGGTGCTGACTGTGGTTCATGGTGCTGACTGTGGTTCATGGTGTTGTCTGTGGTTCATGGTGTTGTCTGTGGTTCATGGTGTTGTCTGTGGTTCATGGTGTTGTCTGTGGTTCATGGTGTTGTCTGTGGTTCATGGTGCTGACTGTGGTTCATGGTGCTGACTGTGATTCATGGTGCTGACTGTGATTCATGGTGTTGTCTGTGGTTCATGGTGTTGTCTGTGGTTCATGGTGTTGTCTGTGGTTCATGGTGCTGACTGTGGTTCATGGTGCTGACTGTGATTCATGGTGCTGACTGTGATTCATGGTGCTGACTGTGATTCATGGTGTTGTCTGTGATTCATGGTGTTGTCTGTGGTTCATGGTGTTGTCTGTGGTTCATGGTGTTGTCTGTGGTTCATGGTGTTGTCTGTGGTTCATGGTGTTGTCTGTGGTTCATGGTGTTGTCTGTGGTTCATGGTGTTGTCTGTGGTTCATGGTGTTGTCTGTGGTTCATGGTGTTGTCTGTGGTTCATGGTGTTGTCTGTGGTTCATGGTGTTGTCTGTGGTTCATGGTGTTGTCTGTGGTTCATGGTGTTGTCTGTGGTTCATGGTGTTGTCTGTGGTTCATGGTGTTGTCTGTGGTTCATGGTGTTGTCTGTGGTTCATGGTGTTGTCTGTGGTTCATGGTGTTGTCTGTGGTTCATGGTGTTGTCTGTGTTTGATTATGAGACATTTTAGTGTTTATGGAGCTGGTCACTTGTTGCTTTATCACAGGAGCATCTGCAGAAGCGTGACAGGTCTGCGCTAGTCTGCACCACGGACTTTACCTAGAAATATACAGTCTCTGCTAATATACAGTCAATGCTAATATACAGTCAATGCTAATATACAGTCTCTGCTAATATACAGTTTATGCTAATATACAGTTTATGCTAATATACAGTCAATGCTAATATACAGTTTATGCTAATATACAGTCAATGCTAATATACAGTCAATGCTAATATACAGTCTATGCTAATATACAGTTTATGCTAATATACAGTTTATGCTAAATACATTTTATGCTAATACAGAGTCTATGCTTTACATCTGTATGGTATATAGTGTTATTCATGTTTTAAAGGTGTCACAGTATTCAACAATCGGTTCTTTCAGTGTGTTGGGATCGCTTTTCTACAATAGGACTTCAATAATGACCTCATCATATGCTCATTGGATCAGAGAGGGAATAGAACCACCAACCTTGTGCTGTTGTCAAGGCTATTTATCTTTTCTCTTAAAGGCACACACGTTAATGCCACAGAACATCAGCAAAGTAGTATAGATGTAGAATGGCATGTTTTTATATGTTTAAAATTGTTCGCTTGATCAGGATTTACACTTTGCCGTTCTCAAGGAATTTGGAAATATGGTGATCTAGACACACACACACACACACACACACACACACACACACACACATACACATACACATACACATACACATACACATACACATACACATACACATACACATATACATATACATATACATATACATATACATATACATATACATATACACACACACATACCGGTCCAGGCTCACACACTTGGCTCCGGGTTTTTGAAGCGATATTTATTTAAAGCTACGCGCTGTCACATAGAATAACGTCACGGGGGGCACCACAGCTGTATGAGTGTGTGTTGTGTGACCCTAAGGCGGACGTGACATTAAAGGGGAAGTGCGATGGAGGAGAGAAAGCATTTTCTGGGAAGAGGAAGATAGAATGGTTATTAAGAGGAAGTAATGTGTTGCTGCTTCAATTACACATGCACAGAATTTAGATCTTAGACGCTAGAGTTATTTTTGCATATTTGTAAAACTGTCCAATGAGGCACATCCTTTGTCGAGTGCTTTTTCCATACATGTTTAATCTGCTGGAATGCATTGCAAAAGGAGTCCAGAGCTGTTAGACCGGAACTAGACGTGCTGTCTTTGAGGCCTGAAAGTAATCTTCTCTTGTGTATGAATTGAATTGTAGTTTTGCTTTGATAAGTAAACTCTAGCCCAGAGCTGTGTCTTAGACAAACAAACTGTCCTTGCCTTGCCATAATTAAACTGCTTTTATTATCATGCCGAACTGAACAAAGTACCCTGTAAAACTAAAGCTAATCTCTTTCTCATTTTAAATATCTGCATTTTCTTGACTGGAAGTTCATACGATACAGTGGGGCAGAAAAGTCAGCCTCCCACTTGTAAAGAGGAGAGATGCCTGAAATATTCTCTCATAGCTATGCCTCAGTTATGAAGACAAAATGATGAAGTGAATGAGTCGCCTACAGACTTCTGGATCTCTGGCTCCCGCAGACGTGTAACTTCTTCCTCCTCTTGTTTCCTGTGTTATTGTCGCCTTTTATTGCCTATCTGTACAAAACCTCAAACAGTCAACACTCTGAATAAACTCCACTGTGGCCAAGACCAAAGAGACACCAGAAACAAAGTTGTAGACCTGCACCAGGCTGGGAAGGCTGTCTCTGCAATAGGCTTCTGGGGTTATCTGGGTTTTTGTTCTGCTCATATTGAGGTATATTTTTGATAATGTAGCTGACTAAATAGTTGTTTGTCCCAAATGTAAATCTTTATATTCTCATTATTATGTTCAAGATAGAGATTTTATACTTGTTATTGAAGCTAAATTTAGAGATTTTGTTTTATTTTAATACAGCTAATGTTCATTTATCTTGTGCTGTGTGCTCCTCTTTCCTACTGTTCTATGACTTGTAATGCAACACTGAACTTTCCCCGCTGTGGGACGAATATAGATCTCTTCATCTTAATCTTGTAAAATAGTGTAATCATTAGTATAGTTTAGTTGTGATAAATGTGTTTGCTCAGAAAACCCTTGATACATCCTGCGTCTGCGGCGGTGGTTTTGCTGCTTCTTTGAAAAGCCCAAATTGGAGCCCAGTTGCTAGGAGACGTGTGTGGGCTCCTGGCGCTCTCTGCAGAGGTTAGCGTGCGCTGGTCTGCTGGTGCGGTCAGCTGGTGCGGTCAGCTGGTGCGGTCTGCTGGTGCGGTCAGCTGGTGCGGTCTGCTGGTGCGGTCAGCTGGTGCGGTCAGCTGGTGCGGTCTGCTGGTGCGGTGCGGTCTGCTGGTGCGGTCAGCTGGTGCGGTCAGCTGGTGCGTTCTGCTGGTGCGGTCAGCTGGTGCGGTCTGCTGGTGCGGTCTGCTGGTGCGGTCTGCTGGTGCGCTCTGCTGGTGCGGTCAGCTGGTGCGCTCTGCTGGTGCGCTCTGCTGGTGCGGTCAGCTGGTGCGCTCTGCTGGTGCGGTCTGCTGGTGCGGTCTGCTGGTGCGGTCAGCTGGTGCGGTCAGCTGGTGCGGTCTGCTGGTGCGGTCAGCTGGTGCGGTCAGCTGGTGGTCGTAAAATCCAGTCTCACTGCTTCTTTGCCCTGGTTGTACGTTTCAAGTTTTATTTGTGTAGCACAATGTCATACACTAAGCAATTCAGTCGAAACTTTAATAGTTTCATAAAATGTATTATTATTATCTGTTCTCCATCTGCTTACGTGGTACACACACACACACGCACGTTAATTATTCAGGTCTTCACGCTGAGAGGGGAGCGCGCAGAACTGGAGGGATGCGCTGTGTTGTGGGCGTCGCCCGGGGTACGGCACTACTGCCCGGTCAGACCAGGTCCAACCGGATTCAGACCTGGTCCCAGACCTGTCTTGGTCTCCATAATGTCTTCACCGACCCCACCCCCACACTCCGTAAAGCGGTGGCCGCTCCAGGGCACGGACTACGCGGCGCCCACGGACCAAGTGCGCGCTCCTGGACTCTCTTCAGCATCCTGGACCCCTTTGACCAACAAGACCCACAACCTGCAGGTCAGGACCAGGACCCGTCCGCCGTGCACGTGACAGCTGTGCACGTGTGTTGTGTCTGCCCTCTCTGTCTCTCTCCCTTCTGTGGGACTAATAATTTTCATATTCTTTCATCATTACTCCACGTTTGAATCATTTCCGTCCAGACTTTTTCTTCTCGCTTCATTCCGGTGCCAGGTCCCCAGAGTTTTAATAGATTCATGTAAACGCCAAAAAGCCACAGGAATCTGTGAGATCTGTGGGGGGGGGGGGGGGATGGTGTGGTGGGGGGGGAGGGGGGGGGGGGGGGGGGGGGGGGGGTGGGGGGGTGGATCCCCAAATACTGAGTCATTTCAATTTGGACTTTACTTCCTATTCTATATTACTTATGTTTTGTATTACTTATACTTACATATTACTTATATGTTAATTCCGTGTTTAATAGTACTAGCCTTCCATCCATTTTCTAACCTTTTAAATCCATTTCTGGTCAGGGGGGTGGCCAGTCAGAGATGCCACCCAGTCTCATAGCACCAGCCATATAAGTACTAATGAATACTTAAATCCATAGCTCGTTTGTGTTATAAGAGCAGATTTTTTACTGTAGATTGTGTTTGTATCTTCACCGGTCCGTTGATGGGAAGAGCGAACCCCTGTCTCTAGTGTGACTCCGGGGGGTGTCTTTGCTTCTGTGATCTTAGGGACACGCAATCTATATGAAAATGAATTGAGTCAAAATAATAGAAAACAGGCGAGACACGACAAAAGCAGAGGAAACCAGCACAGCAGCAGGTTAGACTATGCTTCTAAGTCCATTGACTCTGTTCACTGTGGTTAGCCATGCGTCTAAGTCCATTGACTCTTTCACTGTGGGTTTAGCCATGCTTCTAAGTCCATTGACTCTTCACTGTGGTTAGCCAGGCTTCGAAGTTCATGACTCTTTCACTGTGGTTAGCCATGCTTCTAAGGTTCATTGACGTCTTTCACTGTGGTTAGCCATGCTTCTAAGTTCATTGATTTCTTTACACTGTGGTTAACCATGCTTCTAAGGTTCATTGACTCTTTCACTGTGGTTAGCCATGCTTCTAAGTTCACTTGATTTCTTTCACTGTGGTGTAGCCATGCTTCTAAGTTCATTGACTCTTTTCACTGTGGTTAACCATGCTTCTACGTTCATATCTTCACTTTCACCTGGGGTTACCCATGCTTCTAAGTTCATTGACTCTTTCACTGGGGTTAGCCATGCTTCTAAGTCCATTGACTCTTTCACTGTGGTAGCCATGCTTCTAAGTTCATTGATTCTTTCACTGGTGGTTAGCCATGCTTCTAAAGTTCATTGACTCTTTCACTGTGGTTACCCATGCTTCTAGTTCATTGATTCTTTCCACTGTGGGTACCCATGCTTCTAAGTCCATGTGACTCTTTCGCAGTGGTAGCCATGCTTCTAAGTTCCTTGATACTTTCACTGTGGTTAGCCATGCTTCTAAGTTCATTGACTCTTTCACTGTGGTTAACCATGCTTCTAAGTTCCATGGATTCTTTCACTGTGGTTAACCATGCTTCTCTCAGTTCATTGACTCTTTACACTGTGGTTAGCCATGCTTCTAAGTTCAGATAACAGCTTTGTCCCCTAGTACTGAAACACTAATATTAAATCAATGCAATTTTATGTGATTTATTGTGTGTGTTCGCGTGCAGCTGTTTGAGAAGCGAGTGGGAGCTCCTGCTGCACTGGTTCGACCTGTGGACAGACGGTCAGAGGAAACATGTGGGCTTCCGGCTCTGATCGCCAGGAGCGCAACAAGACTCAGCTCAAGTGAGCTAATATAAGAAACTAATCACAATAATAATAATAACAATAATACTGATAATAGTTAATGATAATAATAATAATGACTATCATGAAATAATCACAATATAAATGATGATGATGATAATGAAGCTGGAGGAAGTGTGTGAGAGGGAAGTTTGGGCGTCTCTGCTTAGACAGCTGCCCCAACAACCCGGCAACGGATGAAGTGGAAGAAAATGGATGGATGGATGATATAAAAGGTTCATTTAGCACTTTTCAGGGGACGCTCAAAGACACTTCACATGTTGTTATTCATTCAGTTCCAACACAGTGGCGATAAACTAATGTAGCCACAGCTGCCCTGGGGCACACGGACAGAAGCGAGGCAACCAGTGCCATGAGTCCCTCCCACCACCACCAACCACTTTCCCAGAGGTCTCCCATGACAGTACTAACCAGGCACTGCCCTGCTTAGCTTCAGAAATCTGACGGGATCTTTTGTGTTGTCCACCACTTTTCACAATGAGTTCAAAAAGTCAGGACCTGCTGATAGTGTATGTCTGGTTTAGATCCTGTCGGGACCTGCTGATAGTGTGTCTGGTTTAGATCCTGTCGGGACCTGCTGATAGTGTGTCTGGTTTAGATCCTGTCGGGACCTGCTGATAGTGTGTCTGGTTTAGATCCTGTCAGGACCTGCTGATAGTGTGTCTGGTTTAGATCCTGTCGGGACCTGCTGATAGTGTGTCTGGTTTAGATCCTGTCAGGACCTGCTGATAGTGTGTCTGGTTTAGATTCTGTCGGGACCTGCTGACAGTGTGTCTGGTTTAGATCCTGTCGGGACCTGCTGATAGTGTGTCTGGTTTAGATCCTGTCAGGACCTGCTGATAGTGTCTCTGGTTTAGATCCTGTCGGGACCTGCTGATAGTGTGTCTGGTTTAGATCCTGTCGGGACCTGCTGATAGTGTGTGTCTGGTTTAAATCCTGTCGGGACCTGCTGATAGTGTGTCTTGTTTAGATCCTGTCGGGACCTGCTGATAGTGTGTCTGGTTTAGATCCTGTCAGGACCTGCTGATAGTGTGTCTGGTTTAGATCCTGTCGGGAGTTGCTGATAGTGTGTCTGGTTTAGATCCTGTTGGGACCTGCTGATAGTGTCTCTGGTTTAGATCCTGTCGGGACCTGCTGATTGTGTGTCTGGTTTAGATCCTGTCGGGACCTGCTGATATAGTGTGTGTCTAGTTTAGATCCTGTCGGGACCTGCTGATAGTGTGTGTCTGGTTTGGATCCTGTCGGGACCTCCTGATAGTGTGTGTCTGGTTTAGATGCTGTCGGGACCTGCTGATAGTGTGTCTTGTTTAGATCCTGTCGGGACCTGCTGATAGTGTGTCTGGTTTAGATCCTGTCGGGACCTGCTGATAGTGTGTCTGGTTTAGATCCTGTCGGGACCTGCTGATAGTGTGTCTGGTTTAGATCCTGTCGGGACCTGCTGATAGTGTGTGTCTGGTTTAGATCCTGTCAGGACCTGCTGATAGTGTATGTCTGGTTTAGATCCTGTCGGGACCTCCTGATAGTGTGTGTCTTGTTTAGATCCTGTCGGGACCTGCTGATAGTCTGTCTGGTTTAGATCCTGTCAGGACCTGCTAATAGTGTGTCTGGTTTAGATCCTGTCGGGAGTTGCTGATAGTGTGTCTGGTTTAGATCCTGTCGGGACCTGCTGATAGTGTCTCTGGTTTAGATCCTGTCGGGACCTGCTGATAGTGTGTCTGGTTTAGATCCTGTCAGGACCTGCTGATAGTGTGTCTGGTTTAGATCCTGTCGGGAGTTGCTGATAGTGTGTCTGGTTTAGATCCTGTCGGGAGTTGCTGATAGTGTGTCTGGTTTAGATCCTGTCGGGACCTGCTTATAGTGTATGTCTGGTTTAGATCCTATTGGGACCTGCTGATAGTGTATGTCTGGTTTAGATCCTGTCGGGAGTTGCTGATAGTGTGTCTGGTTTAGATCCTGTCGGGAGTTGCTGATAGTGTGTCTGGTTTAGATCCTGTCGGGAGTTGCTGATAGTGTGTCTGGTTTAGATCCTGTCGGGAGTTGCTGATAGTGTGTCTGGTTTAGATCCTGTCGGGAGTTGCTGATAGTGTGTCTGGTTTAGATCCTGTCGGGAGTTGCTGATAGTGTGTCTGGTTTAGATCCTGTCGGGACCTGCTGATAGTGTGTCTGGTTTAGATCCTGTTGGGACCTGCTGATAGTGTATGTCTGGTTTAGATCCTGTCGGGACCTGCTGATAGTGTGTCTGGTTTAGATCCTGTCGGGACCTGCTGATAGTGTATGTCTGGTTTAGATCCTGTCGGGAGTTGCTGATAGTGTGTCTGGTTTAGATCCTGTCGGGAGTTGCTGATAGTGTGTCTGGTTTAGATCCTGTCGGGACCTGCTGATAGTGTATGTCTGGTTTAGATCCTGTTGGGACCTGCTGATAGTGTATGTCTGGTTTAGATCCTGTCGGGAGTTGCTGATAGTGTGTCTGGTTTAGATCCTGTCGGGAGTTGCTGATAGTGTGTCTGGTTTAGATCCTGTCGGGAGTTGCTGATAGTGTGTCTGGTTTAGATCCTGTCGGGAGTTGCTGATAGTGTGTCTGGTTTAGATCCTGTCGGGACCTGCTGATAGTGTATGTCTGGTTTAGATCCTGTCGGGAGTTGCTGATAGTGTGTCTGGTTTAGATCCTGTCGGGAGTTGCTGATAGTGTGTCTGGTTTAGATCCTGTCGGGACCTGCTTATAGTGTATGTCTGGTTTAGATCCTGTTGGGACCTGCTGATAGTGTATGTCTGGTTTAGATCCTGTCGGGACCTGCTGATAGTGTATGTCTGGTTTAGATCCTGTCGGGAGTTGCTGATAGTGTGTCTGGTTTAGATCCTGTCGGGACCTGCTGATAGTGTATGTCTGGTTTAGATCCTGTCGGGAGTTGCTGATAGTGTGTCTGGTTTAGATCCTGTCGGGACCTGCTTATAGTGTATGTCTGGTTTAGATCCTGTTGGGACCTGCTGATAGTGTATGTCTGGTTTAGATCCTGTCGGGAGTTGCTGATAGTGTGTCTGGTTTAGATCCTGTCGGGAGTTGCTGATAGTGTGTCTGGTTTAGATCCTGTCGGGAGTTGCTGATAGTGTGTCTGGTTTAGATCCTGTCGGGAGTTGCTGATAGTGTGTCTGGTTTAGATCCTGTCGGGAGTTGCTGATAGTGTGTCTGGTTTAGATCCTGTCGGGACCTGCTGATAGTGTGTCTGGTTTAGATCCTGTTGGGACCTGCTGATAGTGTATGTCTGGTTTAGATCCTGTCGGGACCTGCTGATAGTGTGTCTGGTTTAGATCCTGTCGGGACCTGCTGATAGTGTATGTCTGGTTTAGATCCTGTCGGGAGTTGCTGATAGTGTGTCTGGTTTAGATCCTGTCGGGAGTTGCTGATAGTGTGTCTGGTTTAGATCCTGTCGGGACCTGCTGATAGTGTATGTCTGGTTTAGATCCTGTCGGGAGTTGCTGATAGTGTGTCTGGTTTAGATCCTGTTGGGAGTTGCTGATAGTGTGTCTGGTTTAGATCCTGTCGGGAGTTGCTGATAGTGTGTCTGGTTTAGATCCTGTCGGGAGTTGCTGATAGTGTGTCTGGTTTAGATCCTGTCGGGAGTTGCTGATAGTGTGTCTGGTTTAGATCCTGTCGGGAGTTGCTGATAGTGTGTCTGGTTTAGATCCTGTCGGGAGTTGCTGATAGTGTGTCTGGTTTAGATCCTGTCGGGACCTGCTGATAGTGTATGTCTGGTTTAGATCCTGTTGGGACCTGCTGATAGTGTATGTCTGGTTTAGATCCTGTCGGGACCTGCTGATAGTGTGTCTGGTTTAGATCCTGTCGGGACCTGCTGATAGTGTATGTCTGGTTTAGATCCTGTCGGGAGTTGCTGATAGTGTGTCTGGTTTAGATCCTGTCGGGACCTGCTGATAGTGTATGTCTGGTTTAGATCCTGTTGGGACCTGCTGATAGTGTATGTCTGGTTTAGATTCTGTCGGGACCTGCTGATAGTGTATGTCTGGTTTAGATCCTGTCGGGAGTTGCTGATAGTGTGTCTGGTTTAGATCCTGTCGGGAGTTGCTGATAGTGTGTCTGGTTTAGATCCTGTCGGGAGTTGCTGATAGTGTGTCTGGTTTAGATCCTGTCGGGAGTTGCTGATAGTGTGTCTGGTTTAGATCCTGTCGGGACCTGCTGATAGTGTGTCTGGTTTAGATCCTGTCGGGACCTGCTGATAGTGTGTCTGGTTTAGATCCTGTTGGGACCTGCAGATAGTGTATGTCTGGTTTAGATCCTGTCGGGACCTGCTGATAGTGTGTCTGGTTTAGATCCTGTCGGGACCTGCTGATAGTGTGTCTGGTTTAGATCCTGTCAGGACCTGCTGGTAGAACTCGTCCCTGTGACCCGGGCGGACTTCACGGCGGTTCTTCCTCGGTTCTTGTCCCTTTATGTTCTGTCGTTCCTGTCGCCGAGAGACCTTTGCTCCGCAGCTCAGGTCTGCTGGACCTGGAGGATCCTGACAGAACAGGTACGTGTGTGTGTGTGTGTGTGTGTGCAGTGTTCAGGATATTGTTTGTTACCTTGACGAGAGCAGTCTCAGTGCTGTGGTGGGGTCTAAAGCCGGACTGAAACATATCAAATGAGTTGTTTTCATTCATTTTCAAGCCCTTTATTGTCCTTTTCTGGGTCAGGGGGGTGGCAATGAGAGCTGCCACCCAATGCTCATAGCACCAGTCCCTCGCTGATCCTCTGCAGGGGGTAAGTCCACAGGAAGATGCCTGCTCCAGAACTCACGACCTCCAGGCTCAAAGGCCACTGCTCTACCAACTGAGCTACTGTTGCCCCCAAATGAGTTGTTGATTATAAGAAATCTAGTAAGCTGTCTTTCTCAAGGACTTTCCCCATAAATGGATTTGAGATGTGACGATAGTTGTTAAGTACCGTAGCATCCAGTCTGCTCTTTTTTAGCAGGGGCCTGATGACTGCAGTTTTCAGGGCCTTTGGGAATATTCCAGAATGAAGGGACATGTTTACTATCTGTGTGAGTGAAGGTAACAGACTGCTCAGAACAGACTTCAGAAATCTAGTGGGTAGTACATCCAGGCTGCATGTGGAGGAGCTCAAACTGGAGATTGGTTATAAAGTGCTATGTTCTTCAAGACTGCCTGTGGGTTCTAAAGTACTGTGGGTTATAAAGTGCTATGTTCTTCAGGACTGCCTGTGGGTTCTAAAGTGCTATGTTCTTCAGGACTGCCTGTGGGTTCTAAAGTGCTATGTTCTTCAGGACTGCCTGTGGGTTCTAAAGTGCTATGGGTTCTTCAGGACTGCCTGTGGGTTATAAAGTGCTGTGGGTTCTAAAGTGCTGTGGGTTCTAAAGTGCTGTGCGTTCTAAAGTGCTGTGTTCTTCAGGACTGCCTGTGGGTTCTAAAGTGCTGTGCGTTCTAAAGTGCTGTGCGTTCTAAAGTGCTGTGTTCTTCAGGACTGCCTGTGGGTTATAAAGTGCTGTGGGTTCTTCAGGACTGCCTGTGGGTTATAAAGTGCTGTGGGTTCTAAAGTGCTGTGCGTTCTAAAGTGCTGTGTTCTTCAGGACTGCCTGTGGGTTATAAAGTGCTGTGGGTTCTTCAGGACTGCCTGTGGGTTATAAAGTGCTGTGGGTTCTAAAGTGCTGTGCGTTCTAAAGTGCTGTGTTCTTCAGGACTGCCTGTGGGTTATAAAGTGCTGTGGGTTCTAAAGTGCTGTGGGTTCTTCAGGACTGCCTGTGGGTGAGCCGGTGCGTGGCAAAGGGCTGGTTCTTGCCGTACACTCCTGGTCCCAAAGAGTACGGCGCCTGGAAGTCCCACTACGTCGCCTGCTTCAGGTCCATGGACTTTCCGAGCCCTCGAGAGGCGGAGACACTCTGCGGGGCGCTCAACCAGAGAGGGGGTGGAGCTACGGACCAGGACGAGCCAAAAGAGCGAGAGGAGAGGGCGAGGGAGAGGAGGGTCCGCCACTTGCTCCGCCAGCGAGTCCAGCACCACAAAGGTGTGTGTCATGTGTGTACCATGTGTGTCCCATGTGTGTCCCATGTGTGTACCATGTGTGTCCCCTGTGTATCATGTGTGTCCGGTGTGTGTACAATGTGTATACCATGTGTGTCCCGTGTGTACCACGTGTGTACCATGGGAATCCTGTGTGTGTACCATGTATGTACCATGTGTGTGTACCATGTGTGTACCATGTGTGTCCCATGTGTGTCCCATGTGTGTCCCATGTGTGTACCATGTGTGTACCATGTGTGTACCATTTGTACCATGTGTGTCCGGTGAGTACCATGTGTGTCCCATGTGTGTCCTGTGTGTACCATGTGTGTACCGTGTGTGTACCATGCGTGTACCATGTGTATCCTGTGTGTGTACCATGTGTGTCCTGTGTCCCATGTGTGTCCCATGTGTGTCCCATGTGTGTCCCATGTGTGTCCCATGTGTGTACCATGTGTGTACCATGTGTGTACCATGTGTGTCCTGTGTCCCATGTGTGTCCCATGTGTGTACCATATGTGTCTCGTGTGTACCGTGTGCGTACCATGTGTGTACCATATGTGTTGTGTGTGCAGGTGAAGCTCTGAGGACCAGGCCACCGTGGGGCAGCAGTGTCTCTCTGGTCCGTCCCACAAAGACCTCTGTCCTCTGTCCTGGACCTGTCCTGTGTCCCACTGTGGACGAGGGACACAGGGACACGCCCAGCGCCAGGTATAATAATAATAATGATAATGATAATAATAATAATAATAATAATAATGATAATAATGATAATAATGATAATGATAATAATGATGATAATGATAATAATAATGATGATGATAATGATAATAATGATGATAATGATAATAATGATGATAATGATAATAATGATAATAATAATGATGATAATAATGATAATAATGATGATAATAATGATAATAATGATGATAATGATAATAATGATGATAATAAAAATAATGATAATAATGATGATAATGATGATAATAATGATGATAATAATAATAATGATAATAATGATAATAATGATAATAATGATTATAATGATGATACTAATAATGATAATAATAATAATATTATTATTAATAATA